AAGCCACCTTAAACAATAAAAAAAAAAAAAAAATAAACTCATTCCTTAACTCTCAAACTTGTTAAGTCAAGTAATTAGTTGCTAGGTTTAGCTAGTGATGACAACTTTCTTTTGAATCTATAAATTTATTAAGCCTAGTTACTATATTATAATATAATTAAATATAGTTAAATATAGTTAAATATAAATAAAGATTTCTAAATACTAATTACTTAATAACTATTAATCTTATTTCTACAAATTATAGCTTGTTATAATCACAAAACTATTCTGGTTCTAATAATATTATCAAAAATATTGCTAACTTATAAGATAATTTATAAAATACAAATAAAGAATAACTAAATAATAATAGTAAAATAAAGATAAAATATTAAAATCTATTTGATAACAATATAATAAACTATATAATTATAGAAAAGATAACTATATTATATATTCTTTTTATTTTTTTTTTGATCTATATAAAAAACTATTATCAAATTGACAATAGCTTATTATATAAGTAAAAAGTTAAAATAAGTTGTAATATTCTTTTATAAATTTGTTAATAAACTAAAATTATAGTAAAAAATTAATTATAAAAAAAAGATTACTATAACAAATTATATATTAATACTACTATAGTAATCAAATAAATTAATATTTAAAAAATTGCAAGTTAGATTAATATTAATATAGCTTACTATGTTTCCTAAATGCTTTTGTTATAAGTACAAAATTATACAAATAAAGTATTAACATAACTACTAAAAGAGAAAAAAAATCAAATACCTCTAAATAAAATTATAAAAACTACTATTATGATTATAATAGTACTAAAAATACTAAAATTAGCTTAATAGATTGTAAAATATAAGTAAATTGTTTTTATAGATCTTTATAAAAAAATATTTACTGTAATTGTAAAATTTCAAATACCTATATTTCATGATCTACTAGGCTAATTTTAGCATTTTTGGCATCATTATGATTGTAAGAATGGTTTCTACAACTTGATTAGAGGCCAAATTACAAGTAAATCGTCTTTCAATCTATAAAATTGTAGAAGTCACTTTTACTATCATAATGGTTTCAAAAACGTTAAAATTGGCCCAATAGATCACGAGATATAGGTATCTAAAGTTTATTTATTATATAAATTAATTCTTAAGACAGTAAGAATATATTTAAATTTTATGTTAAAAACCTTTTATAACTGAAAAATAATTGTAGAGTTACGTATTTAACAATTCATTTTTTTCTCAATATTGATCTTTAAATCGAATTAGGTCATTATTGGGCTTCAAATTTTTGCGCCAAAGTTTTATACTTCGATAGTACATAATACTGACGATCCATCAAAAACGGTATTTTTTTGTAGGCAACTGCACACTAAAATTTTTAATTTATTAAAGATATTATTTTAATTACTAGTTTATATGAAAAAATATACTTTACTATATTAAAACTTTAAAGTAAACAAATTAAAAAAAATATTAGTAATTAAATATTATTAATATCATAATTCACACATTATATTTTGAAGATTTTACACATAATAACTAATAAACTAATACTTTCAACAAATTATTATTAAAATTAAAATGAAACAACTAAATCTTCTATTATATAAAGGCTCTAAAATGCTTGTATATTCATATATGATCAAATAATTATATAATATTTACACAAAATCAAAAGTTCAATTTAAAAAATATATATTGTAACCACAAAATTGATATTGAATCAATTTTCTTCATTTTTAACAAAAAATATATACAAAACCCAGCACAAAATTATGCCAACCCATCTCCAAACTGAATCACAGCCATCTAAATATTCATAGTGAGATAATAGCATGTGCGTATATACCGCGATAAGTATTGGAGTTGTAAATGCAGTTATAAAATTTAAAATAGTTTGACCTATAAGACTCTAGATTGATAAAATTTTGATATTTTATGCGAAACGGAAAAAGTTAATTATTATTATTATTTTTTTTTTTTTTTTTTTTTTTTTAAAAAAAAACATGTATATATATACCTCATCTTCTTCAGCATCACGGATAAAATAAAATGCCATAGACACAATTCCAGTTCGATATACAAGTGAAATGAAAGCTTGTAGCGAAAGAGCATTTTGAATAGCTGAAATAGATCGAAAAGTACTTATGAAGTCTATGATACTTTTTAAGAGATTTCTAGTATCAATACTATATAGTAAAATTTAGATATAAGCAAATAAATATTGTGTGTTAATAAAGGCTATTTTTGTATATACAGTAGCTTGATATTATATACCGATATATAAATTACTTGCTTGTATATCGATTCCAAAATAGAAGACCAAAAAGTCTGAAAAGTGGCAAACGGAAGAGATAATTTATCCTTATTAAACAATATTGGATTATTCGATTTTTTTGTTTCACCGCTCCAATTGGTCGATAACATGTATATACAGTATACATTATAGGCAAACTAAGAATATATACTAAGATAAATAATACCATAAGTAAAAAATAAATAAAAATTTATAAATATATCATACCAGAAGAGCGACATCAGTTATAATGCCATCACCACTAATAAGCATCAACATTGAAATTACAATGCCTAGAGTCATGACAGATCCAATCAGAGTCGCAGTAATAATGTCCATTCCAGGGATAGTGTATGTCACGTATAAAATATAAAATGAAGTTGCGTAAGTCGCGATTGATGCGATCAAAAGACAGATCTATTACGAAAAAGTCTGTAATAAGCTAATTTAAGCAATATAATTAAATGGAACAGAGAATACATATATGATACATACCTCCGCACGTTGACTATCAACAGTCATAGATTTTACAGGATTTCTACTCACAAAAATCACAATAGCTGTAGCAGCACCTTCTACTAATATAAAAAATGGTGCGGAATACGCTAGCGAATTTTTGTAAAGTTTTAATACCCATGGTAATTCATATTTTCCAGATTGATCATTTAGGAATGACGAATAAGTCAGTTTGAAAGAGTGGTATATAAAAAAAGGAATTAAGATAGGTTGAGATAGAATGAAAAGTTGTGGCTTATATTTAGGGAAGTGATAACAGATTTGTGACAAGATTAATAATAATATTTAACAAAAATGGAACAATTATATGTGCTTATACGCTTTTACATACCACGATCCAACCTAAGCCCTGTTTTTTCCACCATATTACTTTCGTCAAGCCTAATAAGTTGTAATATAGAAATAGCGCGAACGATAAGGCTAAACCAGTAGAACTTCCGCCCAGGTCAAAGGCAAAAGGTAGTGATAATAGAAATAATAAATGATTTGATCTGTTAAAAAAAGACAGCCACATCATCCTTTTTTTGGTTTAAAAACATTGAAAAGCAATTAAAGTAAATAATCGCAGCTTATATGTAATGATGATCATTGATAAAACAATATAGTACCCCCTTTTTTTTCTGGAGAGCATCCATTTGATTGGTTGTCGATCCTTAAAATCTGATTGGCTGATTATAATAAACGTTCTGATTACTAACGAAGAATATTTCTTTAAAGTTTCGTCAACTGTTAATTAGGTAAATTTATTACTTTTAAGTAGCAAGTAATAAAT